TTGTCAACGTTGGGATTGCCAGTGATCAAGTTGGCGCAGTCAAATTTCAGTATTCAGATCGACGAGAGGTGTTTTCCCCGACTTCTGTTAATATTTATTTATAAAATACGCTTTTGCTTTTTGATCGAAATGAGATTATATCATATTATTCCGAGAAAGGCGAAAATATTGAATTTTTCCAATTACATACGTACGTTTTATTCCCTTAGAAAATGCACATGTGAGAAAATCGTTGATGTAAAAACATTTCATATACAACTGTGACAGCCAATGAATTTTATTTTATTCATTTTATTTATTGATACTCTTTCCAATTTAAATGAGCTTACTCACGTGTCTGTACAATTTTGCAATTTTTCGTGTTATTTATTTTCATTATTGTCATAATGGCATATATTGATTCTACGTTTCTTTAATATGAAATGGCTGATTGTTACAGTCGGAATGTCATTTCGTCCAAATTAGATAAATTGACTGTATCAATGTTTATTTACATATTTTCCAGAGTGTGTGACGGAAAAGCGTGTGACGTTGCCACTCGCGAAAGAAGCACGAATGTATAATAAAATATTGGCATCGATGATCGCAAATCGGGAGTTCAGCGCTCCGCGCGATACGGCGATAATTATTTTTCGTCGGAAATAACGAAGTGATAATAAACATATTTAATACTAACATTAATAATGCCGTCCATAATATTTCTTTGTCCGCGCGGCATTCCTCGCTCGAGCGCCATCAAACACGAAATCAGGAGTTATGTCCGAGTCAAATATGCGTTTAATTCCGAATTATCGTTTTTGTTATCGGAGAGATGTGTGCTATATTACATCATTAATATTCAAAAGAAAGCAAAAGCTATGATGTATGATAAACATTTCATGATATAGTCTTCGAAATCGTAATGCATATAATAATATTGCAATATGATAATGTATATGTAGTAACTTTATTTATACGTCAGCTTTTTAGATTATATATTAAATTATATAGAAAAGTATAAAATATTAAAATTACATGTCAAATTAATTCAGCAACGCATTTTTATTACATGTACATTATATTAATTTATGCGCGCAGATGGTAAACACGAAATGCTTTTATTTTCTAATTAATATAGAGGAAGATTCAGAAGAAAAATTTTCACCTGTGATCTACGACATACAAATGCGTGTACTTATAAAGCAATATATACATGATTTGTGATGATTTTGATATATATACAATTTTTGTATATGTGATTTTCGTGATTTCAGCCAAACTATGCATCTAGAAAAGATTCAAGATAAAATTACAATAAACAGATAATAAAGCTCATCTTTTACTCTTTTAAAGTTCCTCCTTCGGATCAAATTTCCGCTTCCATCTTTTCACCTCGCACGTGAAACTTGGATGTAATGTGTAATTTCCCGTATATACCGCGTTTACTTCGATATCTAGACGAGGTGTCGCGACGCTACCGAGGCGAGGACCTACGATGTTGTCGCGGGCTCTCGAACGGGAAAAAGAGATGAGAAAAGCGAATCTCTTTCCGAGTCCGGGAGGCGAACTTTCGTTCAACGCGGCCGAAACTTTCCGGTAACTTGTTTCGCTAGAAAATAGCCCAAGTTTTCTACGCGGCGCGACGATATCCCAAGAGCCCGAATATTTTATTCCGGACGCCGAAGTGTCGGGGGGGGGGGGTCGTCGTCTGATCCCGCCAACTTCGAAAATCATCGAGCGAGTTATTTCGCGCTTACGATTCTCGCGAGGACATTGCATTATGATCACTAATTGCTCAATTGACGCGTCCTTGTCCGTAAATATATTTTTAAAATATATTTTACACGTTACTTAAAGCGATAAAGTAGCAAAAAAAATCGCTCGCGATATTATCGATATTCACTGCTCGCGCGTCGTCTTTCGGAACACGTCGTTAGTCGAGTTCACAACTTCCGGAATTGCCGACCGCATCTCAATCAAGGAGGAGCAGCCGGAATACCGCGACGGCGGTGGTCGTGAAAAATTCAAGGCGGTCAGCTCGGTAATTTGAAGGCGGTTAATAGCGGGCGCATGCGATGCTGAGGAGAAGCGAGGAGCAACAGAAGGAGAGCGCGAGAATGCGAAAGAGAGACGGGGAGACTCGCAAGCGGGATAAAATCGCGCACGAGCTCGGTGCGATATTTAATTCACGAATCTCCTCTCGGGTCTTCCCTATCGGCCTGAAAGAGGAAGACGAAGGGGGATGACGAAGACCGAGATACGTCGGGATCAAGGAAAGAGAGAATGAGAGAGAAGGAACGAGGGGAAGAGGCGAAGGAGAAATGACAGAGAAAGAGAGAACGAGGCCTCATTTCCATTAGCGGCATGCATCATACAGAAACTCGCCGGACTACACGTAGGCGGGTGCTGTTGCACGTCGAAACAAATTGAGATGTAGACTGCTACCGCTGTTGCTGAATGACACTGTCTCTATGCACGACTCGAGATGCCGCCGCTCCTTTTCCTCGCTCTCCTTCGTAAATGATTTCCCGCCCGTTTCCTCGAGCTCTTAAGCGCGACGTCAAAAAAGTATGTAAGATATAATAACAATCAATGGAAAATTTACTCTAAAATTCTTGCAGAGAGAGAGAGGCGAAATTAAACTGCGAGATCGACCGTGATGTCCCACTGAACAACTTACAGAAACAGGACATCTCATTATTCGCTTTGTAAAGCTGCGACAATACGAAAAACATGTTCGTATAATTTGAATGGTTTCGAAAACACTTTTGTCCATCTTGTCTCTTTACATTGTGATGTTAATTCTTGGACATACGGAGAGGAAAAGAGAAGGGGAACATTGTAATCTTTATTGGCATATGCTCCTATTATTATACTCGCCCGTATGTGTGTACATTTGTGCGTATGTAATATGCAATTCTTTCATTACAAAAATCTTCAAACAAGCCCCATCGCGTCGTATTCTCGTCGCGGCGTTCATCGAACGGGATTATCCGCGAGAAAAGCGGTCGAACAGACATTGCATTCCGAGCGCAATAACGTAAGAACGACGGGACGGCCTGAAAAAAGAAGAGAGAGGGGGGACGGAAGAGAAAGACGGGGAAAAAATGCGGAGAAAGAGAGAGAAAGAGTGCAGCCGCGGGAGTGGGCGACCGCGATATATAGGGACGCTCGCAATTTTCTCGTCAATGCACACGTCAACCGGCATGTCGCGTATGCACTCCGAACGGTGTGTTCCACGAGCTTGCACCGCAGAGAGGGAGGCGCGGGGGAGGGGGAGGACGCGAGACAATGAAAAATGCACGCGCCGCGATATACTACTTGCGCGTCCAAGTTACAACTGCAGAGTGCGGACTCTTTTTCTCTCTCTCTCTCTCTCTCTCTTTCTCTTTTTTTTCCGTCTCTCCCTCTTGGTCTCACTTATGCGTCCTCCTCCTCGTCCACGGCTCGAACGAGGCTCGTCGGAAACGGCAAGCGGGCTGCTCAATAATTCTTTGTGTGGTTTAGCCGAGAGATGCGTGTGCACGTGTATTGACGCGGGGCTATTTCGCGAAATTGCCAACGCTCGGTGCCATCCCCCTCGTGTCACGACGACGGAGACGTTATTTCGCTGCAACATCGCCGCCGCCTTTCGCTCCCGCCTCGTGAAAAGTCTTTTCCCTTCCCTCCGATTTGATGACCGGGCGAAGAGAACCCCGAAAAGCGACTTAGAGCAACTGCGATGCGAGGAGAAGAGCCTATCTTGATTTTTGATAGATTTGAACAATCTCAATATTCTGCAATACACAATACACAAAGAATTCTCAGAATTCTTTTCTTCATTTCCGAAGAGTGACTTTTCCCATTCTCCAAAATCACAAAGGACTGAAAACTGTCTGCTATATAAATATTCAAATGTAAAGTGGGTTAATGCGCTAATAATAATTTAAATTGATCGATAAGTGAATTTTTTAATAATTAAAATAGTATTGACAAATCTCAGAATTGAGCGTTTAAATAGAGAATATACTTTAAATGATTGGATAGCGTAGGGCGAGAACACTTTCCGTACGAGTGTCCTTCAAACTAAAGCAGCATTCGATTCCACGAGCAGAACTCGCGGATCAACGAAACTTTTTGCGGCTCGCGGGAAAGAAAGAGAGAAAGAGAGAAGAAAAGTGGAAGAAACGGAGCGGAAGGATTTAAGCGGCGATCTGGGTGCATTGAGCGACCCTTAAAAATTAATTTGAAAAGTCAGGCGAGAGCGCGGCCGGAAGTGTAGCGTACACGAAAAGTGTAGCGACGTATTCCTGCTCCGCGATATTGCGGAAATCGCGAAATCCGAAAGCGGGGGGTCCACAGGGAGAGGGGGCGAAACTTTTCAAATGAGCCAACTTTGCGTGTGTCTTGCGCTTTCGGTGCCCGCGTCTCGCGAAACCCTTTTCGAAAGCCTCGCATATTAACAAAGTTGTCGGGTGAAGGTGAACAGGTCCGATTATCTCGCGTTTCCGGTGTGTACGAAATTTTGTCCGGCAAATTTTCCTACAGTTGCACTGTGAAAAAAATCACAGCCGCTCTCGACTAAAAAAGTGAGGGCTGTTATCTTGTCTATCCGATGAATTCTCTTTATGCAGTTTCGAGTTTGTTAAAGTTCTTATTATCTAACAATAAGACGAAAGTACAGTTAATCAAGCCAAAAGCGATTCGATGAGTAAAGTGTTTCTTAGGACGCGACGACTAAATTTTAAGTAGGGATTTAAATATTCCTTGTTATACAACTTATAATTAAAAATTAGACACTAATTATATTTTGCGACGCCAAACGCGATATCAGCAAGGATTAAAATACTTTAACTCTTCCTCTCTTACGGGCGATTTTCGATTAAATAATTATCCTGCAGCGGAACTCGTTTTGCTTTCGGTTAGAAAAAGAAATTGTCCGGTAATAAGGGATTAAGTCGTTTTCCCAGCCGGCCGTTAAATCGCCGCTAATCGCCGCTTTAACACACTGACATCTGACCGACCGAACTTTTCTGTTTCAGGCCAAGTTGTTGGAGTCGTCCCACGCTTGGCTCGGCGCCTCCACTTCCAGTATAGCAGGTGAGTCTTGTTTTCTTTTTTTCCTCTTCGTCTCGTTTCGATACGTTTCAGGAGATAATCGTCCTCTCAACACGGCCGGACGAAACGTGGAAACCTCTGCGTTAAACACACACGCGTGCAACGTCTAGTCATCCATCTTTATACACAGGGTGTCCCAGTACCAATGGCACTTTCTTTAACAAATAAAAAATTAAATCATAAAAAAGGAAAATTTAAAAGAAAATTTAAAAAAAATTCCACAAAATTACATTTGAAATGTGTAGTATGTATATAAATGTTTAGAGACGTTTAGAGATGTTTAGAGACGTTTAGAGCTAAAAGAAAAAGTATTTTAAATTCAAAAGACGCTAATCTAAATCATCGAACGTGTGATATAATATCTAATTGTTTTAGTATTTCTTTTCTTTTTAAAAATTTAGTTTTTTAAAATTATGTACACAATGCCTGCCGTTAAGAGGAAAGTACAATCGGTCAGAGGCACCCTGTGTAGTCTGTCTCGCGATATATTTAAAGATTACATTTCTCTCCTACAATATATATCTGTCACATCACTCGCCATTATATCTGTCATGCAAAACTCGACGATCGGATTTCCGCGGACCGATCATCCTTTTCGAGTTTCGAGAGGAGATTCTCTTCCCTCAAACATCCCTCGAGGGCTGTCCTTCCACCAAGTTCACGGTCACGTTGTTTCCGTCGTTGAATTACAACTTCGAGAACGTGACGAGTCTCGTTCTAGAAACCCAGACTCCGTTGATCTCTAGTCTTTCGCAGGTAAAACATCTGCTGCTCGAAGATCGATATCTCGTGACCGTTTACTGTTACACGGACGATAAGGTTCCGGAACATGGCCGTCGTCGTCGTGAACGACGTCGTCGGCGATAACGGGAGGTGGCAACACGACGAGCGCGGGGAGAGGTCGAGATGTAGAAGTCGAAGGTGGTGGTCGAACAGCAATAAACGACGGAAGGGAGGGCGCGAGCGTGGACCACGTCATTACCCCGACAATAATAAAGCGCAGGAATGCGTTTTGCTTTAATATAGAAAGCAATTTAGATAGACGGCCGAGCGGTCGACGTCGGTTAATAGCGGCGATAACACGCCCGCGATTCGCAATGCCCAGCGCGAGGCTCGCTGTAACTTTTACTCCGCACCTTGCATGTAATTCTCTATTCCGCAAAAGCTCCCCTCACACGGTGCCTGAAGAAAAGATCCTTCGACCCTTTATTAGCGTATGTTGATCCGTGATTTAAAAGTGTGACGAATATTGCTTCGGATTTAAATAGCGATCGTAAATAGACCTCTGAGAAAGGATGTTTATAGTTTGATTGCAATTCTGTACGTTTTTATCCTACAAGTAAAATAATCGCGATTATATAGAAATTAAAAAGGAAAGTCTAATTTAATTAAATATTATGATGGCGTAATAAGAAATCAAATTTTATAAAAAATAAACTTTGAATGAAAAGAAGATTCCTTTTATATTTTCAATGCACTTGGAGCGATAAAACAGAATTTGCATTACTACCAAAGCTTTTCTTCCTACAATGCGAAGGTGCGCCAGGCAATTTTCTCAGCCGTATTCTTCGTATCCGAGTTTGATCCCTGATTCGTACGCTCGACCGGGAGCATAAACGCGCGTAAAGCTCGCAATACGCGTCTAGAATTGATCGATCCCCGGTGTGCCGTATTGCATGTATGCGTACATACGTGTTCACGCGTAAGCTGAATGCGTGCGTGGGCGCGTATCCCCTCTCGACGCGCGCTTAAATCATTTTCTTCGATTACTCCTTGACTTCCCATGAGACGCCGTTGCCGGCTGTTTGCTTCTCTTAACGATCGCGCTTATTTATTCCGGCGCTTTTCTCGTCCGCGAGAGCGTTTTTCGAAGCGTCCAACCACCAATCTTACTTGACGCTCGCCTCAAAAGTTGCTATTTCAGGATCTTGGAAGACATGTTCGATAATTCTCGTTGACGGAATCAATCTCGGAGAATCGACAAAGAATTTTTCCTTTATTTTCCTAAATAAAAGTGCATTGTTATATACATGTTTTACATAAATATTTTAAAGTTTTAGAGAAGAGATTTTTATCACTCAATTTACTGGAAACTTTACGCCTCGATGTCTAATTTGTCGCTTTTAATCGAAACGCGATCAAAAATTTCCTTTGATACTTTGACGGAGCGAGTCGGTAATTAATTCGACCTGTGCCTTTTGAGGATGCGAGATTGCCTAAGTGCGATTGTCCGTTTAACGCGATGATTCGTCAATCCGGGAGAAAATGCTCCGCGCAAAAGCGCGAGCTGCACGTGCACACGCGACAAAACGCTATTGTATGATAATATTATTCGACGCGATTATTCCAGTCCGGATTTAGCTATGACACCATTACACGCGATACGTATAGCATCTTTTTTTTTTTTTTTAGTTCGCTGGCAATCATTCCCGACGGTCGTGGGACGATCGATTCGCGCGCGAAATGAGATTATCCATATTTCAATGCAATCGGATTGTTATGCAAACAAAAGGCTATTTCCAATTTTTTGGACTTGTCGATTTCTTTCCCAATAAAGTGTATGTATTATGCAATTTCGGTGACGGTATTCTTGAAACGAATTATCATTCTAACTATTCTAAAATTGCCAGAATAATCCGAGATAATAAATAAACGTGCAAATTATTTTTCTTGTTGATAAAAATACCGAATTGCGAACAGGAGGAATAAAATTCAATTTGTTATAATAAGATCGATTTCGCCGATTATTTCGTCCGTATTTTTATAATTTCAGAGTTAATTTCTTTTTGCATAATTACGCGCAATTCGTGAACCAGAAATCAACGGCGCCGCCGCCGCCGCCGCCGTCGCGACAACGCATAAATCGTATGGCCAACATGAGTGACGTTAACTGCTGCTAACACACGTGGGTGTGACACGCTCGGCGGACCACACAGTGCCCGTTCGCGCTTTTCCCTTTCTCCCTACCTTCATCTTCCTCTCGTCAGCCCTTTCGCCTCGAGTTACGCAACGAGTCACGCACCGGTTAAAGGGATACAATATAATTATACAACAATATAATTACTTGCGATATAATTATATAGGATCAGATATACGGTTAATATTGACGATATAAAATAACAAATTAATGATTTTTAATTTTGATACTGATCGTCAAGTCAGCTCGAATTTGCAAAATCATCAGAAAAGGATTTCATTGAACTCTCGTAATGTTTTATTTAGCTACCTCCTCGTTTTACTAAATTATTTTGATCATTTATTCAAAACTGTAATAATAAAGTTGGAAAACTTCGTATCTAGTTTTATATATTTTTAGACGAAAGAGTTTGCCACCTCCCAAGTTTCGTGCTCTTTTTCATTAACATATTGTATTAATCTTATATTTCGACTTATTTATAAAGTAGTATAATTTTCTTAATGTAATATTCCATTCTCTCTAATTAATAATTATCTATGCATTCTGCAAGATAATAATGTTTCGCTCGATTTCTTCTTCGATATTGTCTTCAAACTTTTTATTTACTATAAACTCCCCTTCAATCTTTATTTTCTTATTTATTTTCTCATTTATCTTTAATTATTTTATTTTATCAATTTTATGATCCACTTTGAAGGTTCTTATTGTCGCGTCCTCATAAATATCTTAATGATATTTTTCAAGTTTCATGAATTTTTCAATCACATGAATTCCTAATAAACTCTTTTTGCCGGGTACTCGCGCCAGAGACACCCGAGCAAACATAGAAACGGGAACACAGACAGAGCGAAAGTGGGGAAGGGAAAGAATGCTTTGTCAAGGTTACGCAAAGCGCGATTTTCGCGCCGTCCATTCTCTCTAGGTGCGGCCTTTCCGCGCGATTTTCCATGCGAAACGCAAAAAAAGTCGAGACGAGATGGGAAAGTCGAAAAAGAAATCGCTGACTATTTTTTAGCTGACTATACGACCCTGCTGAAGCTGAAGGCGCCCACGTGGACGCGACACGATCTCCAGGAGGCGATCGAGGCCGTGGTGACCCAGAAGATGCGCTTCACCCAGGCATCGACCAAGTACGGCATCCCCAAGGGCACCCTTTACGACAACATCCTCGGCAAGTCCAAGAGGATGATGATACTCGAGGAGGCTGGCCTCGATCCGGCCGAGGAAACGGCCGTGCTCGAATTTTGCTGCGACATCAGCGTCAGTCCGTACAATCGGCGCACGAAAAAGTCCCTGAACGCGATATTAAATTTCGTTGAGCAGCTCAGGCAGAAGCGCGATCCCGCCTTCGTGTTCACCGGCCTATCGGGCTTCCGCTGGTGGTGGGCCTTTTGCAAGAAGCACTCGATAGTCTCGCTTTATTTCAACGACGAGAACGAGAACGGGGCTGACTCTTCTTAACGTCGCCGGTCGCCAACATTGAGGATTGATCGCAGAGAGACGCGCTTCGAAAAACCATCGTCGAAAAATATAAACGCGGCGTCGGGCGATTTATACATGTATTTTAAAGCAAGAAAATTTATTCAATACTCGATTGATGTAACTTTTACGTAATCCGAATTAGGATTTCTCTATGTCTCTCTCGCGATTGTTGCGAGACTGCAAAAATTGCCGGCCGAGAATGCGAGAGACGGGGATCGCTTTGCCTCGCGAGAGGAAAAATGCAGAAAATTTAATGCCTCGGCGACAACGAGTTCATTCGGTCGACGTTAAGGCAAAGGGAATATAATAAGCCGGACTTTCCAGGGACGCGTCGCGGCGACGCGACTCACTATGCGACTATTATTCATTTTCATAAGCGAGACGCGCATCGCATTCTCGGACTGCAAGAAGCACGCTTAAAGGCGACCGGCGCGTTCCAAGAGAAGCTACCGCTCGATATCGATTAATCTCGAAATTAAGTACTACAAAAGTGCCTTTTAAAATCATAAATAATATAGTACATGTTTCAAAAAAATTATAATTTTATAATTAGAGTGTTATATAAAATTAAACGAGAGAAGAA